TTGTGGTGGATTTTACTTTAAAGTCTATTTTGTCAGAGATTAATATTGCCACTCCTGCTCTTTTTTGAGTGTTGTTTGCTTGATGTATTTTTTCCATCCTTTAAGTTTTAGTTTGTTTGTGTCTTTAAGTCTAATGTGTGTCTCTTGTAGTGAGCATATAGACAAATTGTGTTTTTTAATCCAATCTGCCACTCTCTGTCTCTTATTGGTGCATTTAGTCCATTTACATTTAGCGTAATTATTGACAGATATGAGTTTAGTGCTGTCATTTTGATGTCTTTTTTGGGTGTTGTTGACAGTTTCTTTGTTCTGCTTAATTTTCTGTGCTGAGTTGTTTTTCTTTATGTATTTTCATCGTTGTTGATTTTGTATTTGCTGAGTCTTTATGTTTTTCTGATTTATTTTATATGTGGGATTGTTAGTTTCCTTTGTGGCTATCTTAATATTTACCCCTATTTTTCAAGCAAGGTAGGGGGCTGACAGATGCCCCCGAGTGTCCAGGAGGAATGCATGTCCCTGTTCCCTAGAGTGTGTAGGTGGGTGGGTTTTGCAGCTGGACTATGAGCACGCAGTGCTGTTGGCTGTAAGGACTGGGGGACACCACTTAGGCCCTTCTCGCACTTGGCTAGATGGTATGGGTGGAGTTACCAGTCCTTCGGCCCCTGATGTGGGTAGGAAAAGACTGCATAATGGACGGAGTAGTGTCAGATGTCAAGAATCTGCCACTTCACAGCTGAAACAGTTGAGTTAGACTTCAGGTATATACCCTGTTGTACTGTGGTAATGACGGTCTACACTGCTGAAATGGGCCCACACAAGTCTCTGCAGAGGGAAAGACACTCAAAGTCCATGGACCCCTTATGCCAGTGCCTAGGCAAAGGACCTGCGCCTACCTTGAATCCCTGGTTTAGGGGAGCCAGCAGATTGTTTTTACCCCCGTTTGTTAATTTGTTCCCTCTCCAAGGCTAGGAGAATGGCATAGGGCACGTGACAGGTCCTACTTCCGGCCCAGGGGACTCGGCAATTGCTGAAGCCATCCCAGATCCAGTGCAGAGCAGGGAGTGGGGAGGCAAATCAGAGTGAGTTTTTTCCCAAAGGGAGGTGTTCTTGATCCATGCGGTAGGCCAGATGCAAGTACTTACCTTTCACTGATCGAGGGCTGCTTCTCACTGGTTCTAGATGGCCGAATAGACTCTCTGCCACTGGGTCTCTCCTAGTGCGGAAGATGCCTCCCGAGAACCGTTGCTTGCCTGCCTCACTGCGCAGCACAAGTTGATCCGGGCTGAAGGGCTCCGGCTCCCAATGGGTCAGGTTTGGCAACTCCTTGCTGCTTCCAAACTGTCTCTCCCTCCCCCTGCCACTCAGTCTGATTCTTCAACTTTTCCTTTGATGTCTAGGGCTCCTGGATTGTCATATATAATCGACTCACTTGTTTTTTTTTCAGGTCTTTAAGAGGGACCACCAGAAGCATCTGTCTTCTCATCTTGGCCCCTCCTCTGACCTCTGATTAGTTTTTAAGCAGATTAACCTATGGTCCCAAGAACTGGCTGATGAAATTGCTGTTTTTCAGTTCAGGGTGATCCAGGAAGTGATAACTCTTCCTCTGTCCCATTTAATAAATGTTTATTAAGCAAGTATTATGGAGAAGCCTTTGAACATGGTGCTGAAGGGCACCCAGTGAACCAGAAAACAAACAAGCCAGAATGTGGTGAATGCTATAAATGCAATGGATGAGGTTAATAGGGCTGAGAATCAGGGGGACAGAGGATATAGCATTTATACTGCTCTTTTAGGTCTCTAGACAGTTTTGTACCTATAGTATTTAAAAAGAAAAAAAAAGTAGCTGTTGATTCTGATGCATGGTGACCCCATGTGTGTCAGAGTAAAACAGTGCTCCATAAGATTTTCAGTGACTGATTTTTCCAAAGTAGATCACCAGGCCTTTCTTCTGAGGCTCCACTGGGTAGACTCAAACCTCCAACCTTTTGGTTAACAGCTGAGTGCATTAATTATTCACACCACCCAGGGACTCCTCCTATATAGTATTAACACCCCTTAAAATGTTTATAATTCATGCATTTCATCCAAAATGATAGATTTACTTATCCTCAAGTATCATTTAGAATGTTTGCTTCTGTGTATCAAGAATAATTCCACCTCTTGGCTGGTGACCTATTCTAACTAACTCTGCTCTATAGGGATAGATTCAGTGGATTTTGTTGACTAGGAAATTCAAATGAGTGACACAAAGTCAAAAGTTTCTTCTAGCAATTAACTTTTATAGTAAAGATAATGTCTTTTTGGCAAAATATCTAAGCATAGTACTTGTATAGGTTGTTTCCAAACCCTAGGAGCAGGGCCCATTATGGCAATGAACAACAGAGTAGTGGATACTTGCTAGTTATATGACTTAGGGAAAGTTATTTAATCTCTGTGAGCCGTAACCATAAAATAAGGATAACCATACCTACTTAGAGGGTTTTTCTGTAATAATTAAATGAGCTGGTACAAGTAAAGTGTCTATGTAGTAAGCACTCTAATTATTAGCTACTGTTTCTTAAAGAGATTTTTTTTTTTTTTATATCTAGATTTCAAACTGCCAACCTTTTGGTTAGCAGCTGAGCACTTTAACCACCAGGTTAGACTTTACAAATTATATTTGGATTTGTTGGCTTAATTTGGCTCCATTGGTTTAGTTTCTTGTTGATAATTGTTAGACTTTTTTTTCTGTTTATTAAATCCATGGAAAATAATCATCAGCCCAGACTTCTGGATTAGCAGTAATACAGTGAAACCTGTGAGAGCGGAGACTGCCTTGTTTTTCCAGCCCTTGCAAGTTTTCTGCCTTTAACAGGGTGCAGTCTTGCCACTTTTCAGTCGCTCTTTATTGTTGTTGTTGTTAGGTGCTATCGGTTGGTCTGATTCATAGTGACCCTGTGTACAACAGAACGAAACACTGCCCCATCCTGCGCCATGCCCACAATCATTGTTACGCTTGAGTCCGTTGTTGCAGCCACTGTGTCAGTCCATCTCGTTGAGGATCCTCTTTTTTGCTGACCCTCTGCTTTACCAAGCATGGTGTCCTTCTCCAGGGACTGATCCCTCCTGACAACATGTCCAAAGTATGTAAGATGTAGTCTTGCCATCCTTGCCTCTGGGGAGCATTCTGGTTGTACTTCTTCTAAGACATGCTATCTATTACTGGAAAATCTTTGAGTTTTCCTTCTCTGACAGGTTTCTGCCTTACACAGGTTCTAACTTTCACAGGTTTTACTGTACCATTTGTGAAGATTATGGAGTAAATTTTTGTGGGTACAAAGTGTCCAGTAGCCCCTAAGCCTAGCCCACAGCCAGCTCATTCCCTTTTTTCCTGTACCTAGGAGAGTGGCACTTTTTGTCCCATAGAAATGGGACATTTTGGGGCCACTCAGCGATTAATGAAAAAGCCAACATTTTTTGAGCTCTTCGTATGTGCCCAGCCCTGTGCTAAGCATTTTGCATATATTATTATCACGTAATCTTCACACAACACTATACAGTGGCATTATTATTTTATAGATTAGTAGGCTGAGGTTTGGGAAGTTAAACAACTTGCCCCACAATCGTCAGTTAAGTAAGTGTTGGAGTGAGAATTCAAAGCCAGGTCTACAGAAGAACTAGATGGTGCCTGGCTACCACCAATGACCACCCTGACAGGGAACACAACAGAGAGTCCCAGATGGAGCAGGAGAAAGGTAGAGTGCAGAACTCAAATTCTAGTAAGACGACCAGACTTAATGGTCTGAATGGGACTGGAGGAACCCTGGAAAGCATGGCCCCTGGATTCTCTATCAGCCCAGAACTAAAACAGTTTCTGAGGCCAACTCTTCAGAGAGGGATTGGACTAGACTGTGGGACATAAAGTGATACTCATGAAGAGTGTGCCTCTCAGCTCAAGTAGATACCAGAGACTAAACGGACAGCTTCTGTCTGGAGGTGAGATGGGAAGGCAGAGAGGGTTAGGAGGTGATTGAATGGACATGGGGAATCAGGGGTGGAAAGGAGGAGTGTGCTGTCACAGTATGGGGAGAGCAGTTAGAGTCACATAACAATGTATGTATAAATTTTTTATGGGAAAAAAAAAGCCAGGTCTAACTTCAGAGCCTGAACCTGGGAAGGGTAGTTGGGCTTTGTGAGCGCCAGGGAGATTCTTCCCAGCTCCCTGGCTCCCTTGGGACCTCATTAACCCCTGTGGGAGGAAAATGTAAGATTCTCGCTGCCTTCCAAACATTCTCACCCTTCCAGAGAGCCCCCTCTGAATGGCGTATTGTATTCATTTCCTGTAGCTGCTGTAACAAATTATCACAAACTCGGTTGCTTAAAACAACAGAAGTCTGTTCTCTCACAGATTTTAGCCAGTCCAAAATCAAGGTGTCAGCAGGGCTGCACCCCTTCTGGAGGCCTTGGGGGGATTCTATTCCTTGCCTTTCCCAGCTTCTGGTGACTGTCCTAATTTCTTGACTTGTGATGGTATCACTCCAGTCTCCACCTTCATCTTCACACAGCTTTCTCCTCTGTGTCAATCTAGGCTCCCTTATGTGTCTCTTATAAGGACACCTGTCAATGGATTTAGGGTCCACCTGGATGATCCAGGATGATCTCTTCATCTCAAGATCCTTAACTTAATTACACCTGCAAAACCTTTGTTCCAAGCAAGGTTACATTCACAGGTTCTAGGAATTAGGACCTGTGGGAGGCCAGCTTTGAACTGCTACACATGCTAATGAATGCCTTTCCATCGAGCTCGGCTCCTTTAGCACACCTGGTGGGCAGCACGCTGTCTGGTGAATGCTACTTTTCCAGTGGGGTGACTGATTATCACCAAGATTTCACCACTTGGTGTTTCAAGGGTGTTTCCGTGCTTTTAATGTTAATGACCCACTCCTAAGTCCTGCTGCAGCCTCTTAGGCTTTCCCTGTGGTGGTGACAGCCTCTCTCACAAAGGTCTTGTTCTCTTTCAGATTGCTGATCTGCAGCTTCATAAACTGGATGAACTGGACTGTCTGATTCAGGGCCTGCTTTATGTCGATTCTGTGGGCTTCAATGGCAAACCGGAATGTTACTATTTTGAAAATCCTACAAATCCGGAATTGTGTCAGAAAAAGCCGTATTGCCTTGACAATCCATACCCTATGTTGCTGGTTAACATGGGCTCAGGTGTCAGCATTCTAGCAGTGTACTCCAAGGACAACTATAAAAGAGTTACAGGGACCAGGTAAACATGTTTTCTACTAGGAGAATCTTTTTGTGCTTACACTCATGCTTTTTCCTTGATAACCAGTTTACAGTAGAAGGCTATTTACATTAAGTACATTTTTTTTTTAAAAAGGTCTCCTCAGCCAGCCAAAAAGGATTAATTGAGTGATGTGTTACAGGAGTAAGAAGGTGATTTATCTAAAGATGAATAAAACACAGTCCTTGCCCTGCTGGAAGGAGCCCTGGTGGCACAGTGGTTAAGTGCTCAGCTGCTAACCAAAAGGTCAGCAGTTCGAACCCACCAGCTGCTCCTCCATGGGAGAAAGATGTGGCAGTCTGCTCCTATAAAGATTTCAGCCTTGTAAACCCTGTGGGGCAGTTCTACTCTGTCCTATAGGGTCGTTGTGAGTCGGAATCGACTCGACAGCAATGGATTTGGTTTGTTTTTTTGGTTTTTACCTGCTAGAGCAAGAAGATTGTGGTCAGGCTGAGGAAAGAAGGGTTGCACACATCAGAAGAAGGGTCACACACACCAACAAGGCAGTACATATTAAGTGCCAAATGAATGGCAAGGACATATAGGAGAATCCAGGTAGAAGAATCATTGGAATGATCAGAAAGGACTTCAGAAGAAGGCTTCTTTTGGAACCTCATTGGTGCCTAGCACAATGCTGGTACATGGAAGGTACTCACTAAACGATAAATTGATGGACGTAACATGTCATTCCAACAGCAAACCAAACAGGGTTTACGGAGAATGTTTCTTCCCCTCAGGTAAATGCTCCAGCTGAAAACTGGAATGGCACACCTCACAGGGAATTTTGGAATGCAGTGGAAAGGAAAACAGCCGTGTAACTATATTGAGCACAGCTGCCTTGTTTTCAGTGCCCACTTACTAGGGCGAATGGGCTGTTTCCTGTTTGTGGGGATTCCACATTGGAAAAGGGCCTGGGGTGAGAAATCTTTGGGATGAATTCTAGTGTAAACAAAACTAAACAGGCTTTCTTTCTGCAGAACTTTTCAAAGCCTTTACAATGAGCACGTGATTTGTCGATTTCTAGGAGGAGGATTTGGTAGGCATTTCTCTAGCTTATGGGACCACAGAACCCATTTTTGGAGGAACAACTTAAGGAACTAGTGCCGTTTGGAACGTGCCTTGGGACATGCTGTCGAAGCCCTCGTCTTTTACAGACGAAGACATCCTGTAACTTCTCTGGGCATCAGTGTCCTCATTTGTGCCATGAGGGAGTTGTTTTGTTTTTACAGGCTTTTCCAGCACTGAAATTCTGTAGTACTGCTCACCCATTAGGAGGAGAGCACTGCTTTTCCAGTGTGTTTCCATGTCTAGTGATGGATCTGCATAAATCAGTGGTTTCCACTGGGAAGAGGGAAGATTTAGCTCCTCAAGGGATGTTTGGCAATGTCTGGAGATTGTCACAGCTGGAGCTGAGGTGCTACTGGCATCTAGTGAGTAGAAGCCAGGGATACTGCTAAACTTCCTACAATGCGCAGACCAGCCCTTCACAACAAAAAGTTATTGAGCCTCAAATGTCAGGAATGCCATTGTTGAGAAACTCTGGCATAGATTCACATGCAAGTGTGTGCATGTGCGTGCACACACCTGTGTACTTGTGCGCACACACACACACACACACATTCTGACGGAATCCTGCTTGTGTCCAGAGTACAGGCTTTGGTAAGTTCATTGCCACTAGGTGTACATTTTATTACTAGGAATACCGAACTAAAGCTTGCTTGCTCACACAGGAATCAAAACTGTGACTCCACGGCCTCATTCGGACTGTCAGGAGTATCAAAGATAAATAAGCATTTCAGCTGAGCTGGTTTTACTTAGAGAGTAATCTCCTGATAAAGGAACAATTTTTAAGATACTATAGACTTCCTCCCAGGAATCAATTGAATTGGGGCTAGTTCCAAGGTAACAACAAGCTAAACATTTTTCCACAATTAGAGATATTTATGATTGTGTTGGTTAACATTTCACGTATTCATGAATTGCATTAGAGGTACACTTTCTCAGACTTGGAAATTGCTGGAATCTGGGTCATTTTCATGAATAGTGGCTAATGAGCTAATTGCAGTGTTTGGCTTTCATCACACATGCAATAATGCCTATAAATTCCAGCTATTAGTAAGTGCTCATTAATGACCAATGCTTTGCCATTATCAACAAATCCTGTCTTCAGTCAGTAGTTTTGGAAATGTGTTACAGTATTCTGAGGGTTAATAGAGAGCCCTTTCAGGGGCTGCCACATGCAGTGGGTGGGGGAGAATAAGGCATCAAACCTGTGGGGCTCTAAGTCCTCTTTGTCCAACCAGAGCAGTTCTTCCAAAGATTTCTTTAGATCCAAGTTACAAAAGAAAAACAAAACAAACCACTGACATACTATTATGGTCAGCAGTGAATAGTGTGTGGAACACACTTTGGGAATCATTGATTTAAGCAAATGGCTTAATCTTTAAGTTTTGCTACCCCTATTATGAGACTGATAAGGAGCCCTGGTCGTGCAGTGGTTACAGCACTTGGCTGCTAACCAAAAATGTCACGAGCCACTCTGTGGGAGAAAGATGTGACAGCCTGCTTCCATAAAGATGACAGCCTTAGAAACCCTATGGGGCAGTTCTATCCTATCCCATGGGGTCGCTATGAGTCAGGATTGACTTGATGGCAACGCGTTTGGCTTGGTTTAGTTTTATTATGAGACTGATAACTGGTTTTTTGTTACTGTATTACACCCTATTTTCTCATTAAGCATTGTTAGTTTTAGGAAACCACATCATTACAGGATATCAGTTTTCTTTTATAAATGTATGGTTTTAAAATGGTTTGTTTTACTCTTGTGTGTAATTTTATTGCATCCCAGATTGGGTACGAACAATTTTTTTCCTAGTAACACAACTCCAAGTTTATAATAGAAGTCAATGAAAACAATGGGACTTCGCAGCTGACGTTGTTAGAGTGTACAGTCTAGTAGAAAAGGAAGGTAGAGAATTTATCATCTCATCATTTTGGAACCTATTTTAAAGACACAAGTACTCAGTAATTGAAGGTTTCTTCTACTCCCTAAAATTCCTTACTGCAAAATTATTGGGTTTTTTTGACTAATCATAATATTCAGCAGCTGTTTCCAGCTATATGTTTTTGTCTTTGATTTACCAAGTGTCTTATTGTTTGTCTGCCGAAGTGAACAGATGTATCTGATTTTGAGTGAGGGACTCAGTGAATTAAATAATGGTTAGCAGGTTGAGGATATTAATAAAGTGTTGGGAGACGTTTGGCGCTTTCTTCTTATCTGTGGTATACCAGTTGTGCAAATGCGTGATCGCTTCCCCCACTCAGCTCAGATTCCTTTGTCTGGAATCACCTGTCATTTTCCAGTCATACAAAACACTTGTCCTTTTTCACCCATACCAATGCATCAGTTGATGAGTTGCCTTCTTTCTAAGTCAGCCGATGTCTTCCATTGCCTATGCCTGGAGTAGTTTGCCCCACACTTTAATTAATATGAATATCTGATGTTCAAAGAGAGGTGGTTAGCCGGGGGAGGAGGGTGAAAGGCATTTAGAAGCTAGAAAGAGACGAAAGACTTCCTCTTTAAAATATATACACACAGAAAACAAATTCAGATGGCACACAAACCAAAAAATGTTCCCATTAAAACCCACTAGCTTTGTAGTTTTATTTGAAACTGACAAGTAGTATGAAATGTCATGTTAAATGTAAATAAATAAAAACTTTTATTAAAGGAAATCCAAACTTTCTGCTGTGCCTGAGTTGGCAAGGTAATAAAGAACATGGAGCTCCTTCTTTCCCCATGACACAGCGCCTACTGTTTGGGTGTCTGCTGCAGGTGCCTCCTTAGAATCTTTCCATGTTGTGTTGTTTTTGGTTGCCGTCAAATTGATTCTGACTCACAGCAACACCATGTGACAGTAGAACTGCCCTATAGAGTTTTCTAGGCTGTAATCTTTACGGAGGCAGATCAACGACTCTTTTCCCACAGGGCAGCTGGGTGGGTTTGAACCACCAACCTTTCAGTCAGCTGCTGAGCATGTAATCATTGTGCCACCGGGACTTCTTAATATTTCCATGAGAACACATAATTTCACTCGAGTGTATATTTTGGTAAGAATTGCATTTTGAGAAATACACAGTTTTGCGTTAGATGAGATTTAAAGAACTGTGTGTCTTGAGATTTAAAGACCTATGTGTCTATTTACAATCTGTTACCTTCTCGTTAACACTTACTGACAGTAAATATAGTTTACAGTAGATTTTTCTTTCTTCAAACTTAAGTTAAAAATAACCTTAATCCCAACTTGAATTTTTTGTTATAATTAGAAGCCAGTGCCCAAATGCATAGGAGTCCCTGGGTGGTGCAAACAGTTAACATGCTTGGCTGCTAACCAAAAGGTTGAAGGTTTGAATCTACCTAAAGGCACCTGGCAATCTGTTTCTGAAAAATCAGCCATTAAAAACCCTATGGGGCACAGTTCTACTGTGACACACATGGGGTCGCCATGAGTTGGAATTGACAGCAATTGAAAACAAACAAACTCAGACACATACGGGGTTTCCAGAGCTAGCATCTGTTTGGGGCTTTAGAACAGATTGGTGTGAGCAGCTCTCCTATGGCTACTCTTCTGCCTGGTAAATAAAGAATAAAACCCAAGTCCCTAACTTTAGGAATCAGTGCTGTTTTTCCTGCCAAGAGTTTACTAGTGATATCTTTACTCTGAATCTGCTTCTCTTTCCATTAGGTATCTTTGATATGAATATCAGTTGAGTTCATTCTCAACGATAGTAATCAGTTTCTAATTTTATCTAAAAAGACTGTTACCAAGGAACTGTCCTGAAAAGAATGGAAAGCTTTTAAAAACATGGTTCTGAGCATTGGAACCATTTTATGACTTTTGTTGCTATTTTATTATTTTTATTATTTTGTGTGGCAAGTAAAATATTAACAACTTTTTCCAAAGTCTACCAGAAAAAAAATCTTATATCACACAGATGAGTGGTTTTTTTTCCCCCCAGAAATCTCCAAGGAGGGTAAATGGGGTTATCTCTGCTAGAGAAGAGGTCAGGTGAAAGATACAGCTTTCGGGTTGGCTAGTCTTGGTAGAGTCCTGGATCAGTTTTGTCATCAGAGGATTTGGCTCCATAGTTGTGGAAGTATTTCATGTACACAGTTTCTTTTTCTGGGTATTCATATTCAGCTGCAGGTGTTTTTGTTTTTTTGTTTTATAGTAATCATTTCTCTGGTTATTTGCTGCTTATAAAGCACCCTAATAGGAGAGATTACACTGGCCCCATCTTACAGGTGGGAAAACTGAAGCATCTAGGTTAGTGGCTAGTTGAAGGTCTCACAATGGAAATCAGTGAGAGTCTTTCTCTGGTTTTGGATTTAAATTTAGGGACAAGCGTTCCTTGATGTTTGTTTTTAATCTCTGCTCTCTTTCTTAGCTAATCTACCCTGAAGGTCTTTGGCACCGTAGCACTTAAATTCAAGTGCCCCTTTGGTTTTCTTCTCCTGTTTTTATTAACCCATATTAATGGTGTTGATGTAGTTGGGGACTTGGATGGGCATATCTTAAAGTAAAATTTAAAAATAAACCTTATTGTTCCTTCAGTCTTGGAGGTGGAACATTCCTAGGCCTATGTTGCTTGCTGACTGGTTGTGAGACCTTTGAAGAAGCTCTGGAAATGGCAGCTAAAGGCGACAGCACCAATGTTGATAAGCTGGTGAAGGACATTTACGGAGGAGACTATGAACGATTTGGCCTTCAAGGATCTGCTGTAGCATCAAGGTAGAGACTGAGTAGCTAGGGGCAGTAGTGATTAAACACAAGGCAACCTCTCCACCCTGGCCACTCATTCAGTTGTTTTTTTAAATGTCAATTCACCAGCCTGGTGCAAATATCTATCATAATGGAACTCAGACTCGATCTCCTGCCCTTAATGAAGCACTGAGCTGTATAGCTCCTGATGCTTGTGCTTAAAATAGAGCAACTTTGAAAGAAGGTTCTTGTCCAGATATCTAGAGGCACTAAAAGTTCTATATCCCCATCAATAGCCATGCTACATTGTCCCTATTAAGAAAAGGACAGCTAACCATTCATATCTTAATCCTATCTGCTTATGAACCATGGTAGCCAAATCTGGTCATTTGAGTTTGAACAGAGTTATTCATAGAACTTTCCACAGTTCTTTAGTGGACGCATGGGCCTGCCTGAGGATCATTTGAACATTCTCGCTAATATTTCCAACATAGCTTTGGCAACATGATGAGTAAAGAAAAGCGAGATTCCATCAGCAAGGAAGACCTCGCCCGAGCCACTTTGGTCACCATCACCAACAACATTGGCTCCATTGCTCGGATGTGTGCCTTGAATGAGGTAAGGCTCCAAGCCAGGGAAAGCCATGTGTCATCCATACGCATCGTCTTTGGCAGTGCAGTAACTGTTGACCCTTAAAAAACTATAGATCCTTGGGAAACCTGCCTTTTGTTGTAGTCACACAGTGTAGAATGTGAGGGGGATGGCAGGGAAGTGGGAAGGAATAAGTGTTTTAAGTAGGTACTGGATGATAACAAATGATAAAACATCCAACCATGGAACTTTGGTAAAATTATAACTTGTGTCACATCCTGTCTGTCATTATTGCCGCATGCTACCAAAAGTGTGAGGAAAGTCCCCTGCACTTAGTTGGTCCCTTTGTATCCTTGCCAATAATTTCACATAATGTGCAGTTCCTACCAGTTCTACTCATTTCATTATCAGAAACACTATGGGAAAGTCCCCTTGCTCATCTTGAGATAGTTGATATTCTCTCTGCTTTCAGCTTCTTTACAGTGTTGCCTTGTGGCATGGAGTTCAAGCAGCATTGTACAGGGCTATCAAAGCATAGAGAGCTTGCTGCAGCTGAGGCCAGCCAGAGCCCAGGCATAAGAAGGGGTGGAGCTGGTGACAGACAAAGCTAGTTTTGAAACATTGCAGAATTCCTTTGAAAAAAGTGGAACCCTTTTCTGAAATACAAGTAAGGTAGAACAGCTCTCTTCTTGCTGAGGTGTGTTAGGAAGATAAGAGAGAGGGGTTAGGGCATGGAACAGGTAATAGGAGAAGTATTAAAGAACCACAGTGGTATCAGTAATAGAGGTTTTTCTTTTTTTTCTTTAATATAATTTTTAATAGAAATATACATACAGAAGAGGGCTCAAATCATTAGTGTACAACTCGATGAACTTTCATACACTCCTGTATGGCCACCACTTAGATCAAGACATATGGGCACTGCAGGAGCTCCCTGTGTCCCCTCCCAGTTGAGCAGTGGAGTGTTAAACAGGGTATGAGACAGTCCTTACAATAGGTATGTGCTAGCCGTGCCTCTGAGCTCTTGGGTTACAAAAGAGACACCCTATTTTTACGACATTGAATAGAGTGTATTACTGGCCAGTAAATCAGGGTCCTAACTTTTTAAGGCTTGAAAGCCCCCATTTTGGATGGAATTTAAATGGCAGATGGAAGAATGTATTCCAGAGATGAACCTTTTCAAAGTCCACTTCTGTCATGGGACTTACTGTAACAGAGGGTTTATTTCTTGACATTAACTTTTAATGTCCAAGTGGCCAAACAAGCCCTCAGACTAATATGTGTGTACTTGTCTGTATCCATGGGCTCTCAAAAGTCAGTTAGATGGTAACATCCCCACCCCAGAGAGCAATAGGTGCCCTTTCCCTGGCTTTCCACAGAGCTGGCTTCTGTCTTGCACATTTGGCTTCAGTGAGCCAGCAGGTCTTTTTACAGGTATTGTAATCACTTTAAGGGGAGAGCAACTGATTTTCCTTTTTCACTTTTGACCTCTATTTCAATACTACTTATTGTCGGAGTCTAGCAAAAGTGGCTATTTGAAAGCATTGTAATGTTATACACTACACTGGTTTGAGGAGTTATTTTAGATGTTTCTGTGGAGTAGAATAAGTGAGGAGAATCACTGGATTACCTTGGGGCAGAGGCTCTGTTATATGAGGGTTGGAGTCCCTGTGGCCACATGTCAGTGCAGACTCCCTGTGGGCACCCCAGTGAGAGCGGTGACTCAGTTCATTAGTCATTGTTTTGTTCTCTGGAGTCACTGATTTGAAAATCTTTGATTTCAGCCATTTGATAGATGGACACCACATTTACTGCCTCTAAAATATTGGAATGCTATGAAGTGTTCTTAATCAACTTTATTTATTTATTTTTTAATAATACAAACATACAGTACAGAGCTCAAAAGATATCAGAAGCATATATAGGGAAGTGAGTCACCACTTCCACCTCTGGCCCTCGGTATTAACCTCACTAGAGGCAGCCATTGTTTTTAGTTTTCATCCTATATTGTATGCAGTATAAGATACACACATACATTCATACATATACAGGTGTGTGTGTATAATATATCCTTCCAAAGGTAGCAAACTCTACATACTATTTATTTTTTATTAATAGCTTTATGAAGATGTAATTCATATACCACACAGTTCATCCTCTACATACTATTCTACATCTTGCCTTGTTTATTTGGCTGTTTATAAACTTTTAATTATAAAAATTGACAAGCATACATAAAGGAGCGAGAATAGTATAAAGATCCATCAACTTGTTTCAGCGGTTTTCCAGACTTTGCCACTCATGCTTATCTGTTTTCTTCTTCCTCCTCCCTCTGTTCTTTTCTCTTCCTTCTCTCTTTTTTGCTAAAATATTAGAAAGTAAATCTCAGATATTATATCAGTCTACCCTACGTGCTTCAATATGCACCTCTGAAAATATTGCCTCTTGCTTTTCTACATAATAGTACATCTTGAGATTGTTCCTAGCCGTACATTTAGAACTTCTTCATTTTTTAATGGCCATATAGTATCCTATCATATAGATAAGCTATTCTTGATTTGATCAATTTCTTAATCATATTTAGGTTTTTCTAGTCTTTTGCTATCAATAAAAGATAGCAAAAATGTTTTATATGTAATACAGGCAGTCCCCAGGTTACAAACAAGATCAGTTACTAACTGTGCCTTTAAGTCTTTAAGTTGAATTTGTAGGTAAGTCAGAACAGGCGCATACGGTTCTAATTTAGCCTTACTTCAGTGCAAGAAAAATCTTGAAGGCTTTTCAATGATTTAAAAGCTGCGTTGGAACCATCGACTTGTTGCAAATAGGAGCTGGTTCAATCATTTCGTAGTGAGGGCAAATTTACATAACATTAAAGGGCAAATATGAGTTTTCCGTAAGTCTGATGTTCATAACCCAGGGACTGCCTGTATATATATGCACATACATTTTGCACACACACATCATTTTGCATTATGTGAGTATATCTGTAGTATAAATTCCTAGGAAGGAAATTGCTGAATCAAAAGATATGTCAGTTGTAATTTTGACAGATATTATAAAATTCTCTCCGTAGAGGTGGTGCTAATTTATATTCCCACTAGCAGAGTACAGTATAAGAGTCCAAGTTTCTCCACAGAGGGTTAGCAGACATTTTGTTCTTTTCCAACCTGATAGATAAGAAGTGGTATCTTATTTTGTTTTAATTTGCATTTTCCTTATTACAGGTGAAGTTAAACATTTTTCATGTATTTAATAGCCTTTTGTATTCCCCGTTTTGTGTGTGAGAACTATCTATTAATACTGTTCACTCATTTTTCTATTGAATTGTTGGTCTTAACTCATTTTTTGTGATATGTATGAAAATATTTTCTGTTTATTGCTTTCTATTTAGATTTGTTTGTGGTGATGTTTTCCCTTGAATAAATGTTTGGTTTTTAATACATCAATCTTTTTTTATCTATTCTATGTATTATACCATTCTATTTTCTATTTTAATATTAGTTTTTAAAATAATTCTCCCATGTTTTCCACTAGTATCTTTTTCTTTTCTTTTTTTAACTTTTACATCTTTGACCCACCTGTAATTTATTTGAAGTAAGGAATACCCATCAGCTTTCAAACAAATGTAACGTATTTTATGATTGTTGTTGTATGCCGTCGAGTGGACTCATAGCAACCTCCCATCAGCTTTTAATGCCAATTCTTCTGTTCCTTCCGGCTTTCTACCAGGATAACGCAGGACTGGGGTTTTCAGCAAATCCTACCTTAGGCTGCCTTGTTTTGGGAGAAAGGTCAAAACTCCTAAATTTAATTAAATTCCTCTTTAATCTGAGTTTCTTACTTGGAGTGTTTCTTACCACCTCTGAGTCTGGGTGGTTTGGGCTACGTTTGTTTTTGTTTTTTAGAAACTCGCTAAACTAAAATCACTCCCACCCCTCCACCTGTGGAAAATTTTCACAGGGGCTAATGGGCTGATGAACGTGTATTGTTAAAACTTGAGACAGTTAAAAGGTGATGTTCCCAGACCCTGATTACTCTTGATAGACTGGGCAGAAAATAATGCCAGCTTCAGAGATTCTCCTTCCCTTTGATATGAGTGACCATAACAACTGGCCCTTTCAGTAGTGAGCAGCCTCTGTGTGGTAGACGGGCTGTGCTCAGTTTTAAACTTCAGAAACGTCTAGGGGGAGCAGAGCATGCTGTGAGCACACCATAGCTCGAAGCTTATGGAATTTCAATTATGTCTGCATGGACAGGATAGGAGAGGAATGTTCCTAAGTGTGTGATCAGAATGCAAATCTATATCAATGCCTTGACAAAAAATATAAATATATATTTTAACCCATATGTTGACCAAACAGGATATTTCACCATATATTCTGAGTGCAGAGACTGGGCCTTGTTTCTTTTTGTATTCCCGGTGTTTGGCACAGGGTAACCCCTGAGCAAACTCATTAGATGAGTAAACCGTCCCATAGCCAGTCTTATTAGTATGAATGTTCATGAGTTGGGTATAGTAATATTTTATAGTTGGAATTTTGGGGGATTTATGAACTGAACAAGTAATTTTAGCTAAACTCCAGTTACAGATTTATATATGTGTGTGTTGGGAACTGAATTTCATATCAGGCCTTAAGGTACCTAACATAATACTTGAAAACAGGCTCAATATCAGTCTCTGCCTCACCCAACAAAAATCTCACCCTCCTGTTCTTATGGAACGCACTACAAAGCTTGCTTGACTTCATCTTGGAAATGCTGAAATAGTTCCATTAAAAAGAAGAAAATCCACTGTGCAGGTCCTAGGAGGAGTACTGTGGCATACGGAACATTGGGTCTTTGCTAAATGCTGTTTGGACACCATGGCTCAATTGTTTTTCTTTAATTTTCTTTTTCAGAATATTGACAGAGTTGTGTTTGTTGGGAATTTTCTCAGAATCAATATGGTCTCCATGAAGCTGCTAGCATATGCCATGGATTTTTGGTCCAAAGGACAGCTAAAAGCTCTCTTCTTGGAACATGAGGTAGGTTGAGATTGCGTGGATCTAATTGCCCTATATGGAGCATATTTTGGGTTGTCTAATTTTTGAGTGGATGCTCTTAGTTTGAAAATTGATCAAGTAGAAAAAGTTGCCATTTACACTGCACCTCTGCAAAGGCTAAGGAAGAACTATATGTAAGATGGAAGCCTTTTATCTAACAGTCAAGACTGGTTGTCAGTTAATCAAAAAAATTCAGATAAAATGGACAATCATTAAAAGATATCTCCCTACTTCAACCATTTAATTTTAATTTTAAATGTATAAATATACATGCATTCAGCAATCTTTTGATGTAGGGTCATGGCCTGTTTTTGAGCGTGGATCCTGCTGATTAGAATTCTGTAGCTGTCTAAATCACAAGTATTACAGACTCCCTTTGATTTCTAGTTTGTTTCTTTACATTGGCTCAAGAAACTGAAGACACTTGTGAAGCAATTTGGTTTCAGAATCCTTCTAGATTTTTCTCTCAATTTTTTATGTTGTGTCATTCAAACCTAAGTAGAGAGCAGTGTCTTGTGACTACCTTTTTTGAATCTTTTTCAAGCATTTAATTGAATTTTCATAGATGTAACCATTCTTTTCGCACAAATTTTTCATTGGCTTATGCAATATATAATTAAATTGCATTATTACATTAACATTAAAACTGTAATAAACAAATTTGAGGGTAAACACAGCTGACTCTTAGTAAGTATACAACTCAGCTGGGGAGAGCAGAAGTGGTTGGGCTACCGAGAACAGCCTACCAGTGTGAGAGACCAGTGTGCCTGGGCATCACTCAGTCTGTGTACAGAGGAAATGGAGAGCACTGGCTAATCCAGAGAGTCCCTTATGTGGAGTTCCTACAGTAATATAAATCACAGGCTCCCAAGAGTGAGTGGGAGGCCCTCTTCTCGTCTCCCTACCTTCTCTATCACCACTTCAGAATCAGCACTGTAGAGAGCACTATTTATCATGGAAGGTATCTAACCCCAAGGTAGTGCTAAAGGTTAACATGCTCAGCTGCTAACTGAAAGGTTGGAGGTTCAAGTTCACCCAGAGGTGCCTTGGAAGAAAGACCTGGTGATCCACTTTTGAAAAACCGACCATTGAAAACCCTATGGAGCACAGTTCTACTCTGACACACATGGGATCACCATGAATCAGAATCAACTCACTGGTAACTAGTTGGTTGGATAGTGGGGTATCTTGCAGCAAAAAAAATACTGAGAGAACTGTTACTGTAAAGTTAAATTTCAATTTTCTCATCTCCAAATGGAATTATTTATTTAAAAAGTCACTGATGCATTTATGTTATTTAGAGCTGACTATGCCCACATTTTGTTTTAGTATAAAAGCCTATAAAACAAGGGATTACATACTAAATTATCAAGTTTCAATGATAGAAATTAATACTTAAAAAAGTGTGTTTGTTTGTTTTAATGCAGACTTAAGGGAGCAATAGCTTTTTTTTTTTAGATTTGGGAATACAGTCCCAGAACTACATTCCCTCTCCCCCAGGCTAGAGCAGCTTCTTTTTTATCTACTTATTTATTGATTTTCCATGTAAGACTTTGTTTGTTTAAATTAAAAAAAAAAGCACTCAGCCTTAAGAAAAATAAATAGGAAAAAGAAAACCACTGGTCTCATCCACATAGAGTTGCCATATTTAGCAATAAAAATACAGGACATCCAGTTATTTTATTTGTACTTTTTTCTGGCAACCCTAAATCCAGATCCTGTTGGACTAATGCAGAAAACAAAGCCTGGAAACAGTCAGGGATTAAATACCATCTACAGGATCACAAAGGTAGTTGGTGGGAAGTAGGGAATAAGATTCAACATTTTGGGAAAATTTGCCTCTTTAAAAATGTCATCACCTGTGTCACTTTGTACACTCCTAGGCCTCTGTGGAATATAGGTTTGGTTTGTTAGTAAGTATCATAACTCAGTCTCTATGGCCAGTAAAAGTGGAACATTCTTATAATCCCTTGAAGGTGGCTCTCAGAAAATTCTCTACAGTCCTAACTTCATTCTGGCTTGGGTAGACTTTATCGGATGATACCATGGAGAAAGAACTTTTGGAAGGAGCTGGTTTGGTGGCTTTCTAGGGTACTGACCTGGACTTAGGAGTCCTCACTCGGTGTCTTATTCATTCAGCTAGAACTACTGAGCATCTCCTATGAGAAGCAGTCTAGCAGAGCAGTTAAGAGCACAGCCTCTTACTGACTTTGAGAACCTACAGACAGCGACTCTACCTCTCTGTCTCCATTTTAGCATTTGTAAAATGGGATAATAGTATTTGTCTGATAGAGTTATCATGAAGATTAAATGAATAAATCTATGTAAAGTGCTTAGAACAATTCCTGGCACATAGTGAGGCCTCAGGAGCCCTGGTGGCACAATGGTTAAGTGCTTGGCTGCTAACCAGAAAGTCAGCGGTTCGAACCCACCAGCCAAACCACGGGAGAAAGATGTGGCAGTTTGCTTCGTAAAGATTACAGTCTTGGAAATTCTGTGGGGCATCTACTCTGTCCTGTAGGGTCACTATGAGTCAGAATTGACTTGACAGCAATGGATTGGTGTGGTCTTGGTAGTGAGGCCTAAAATTTTAGCTGTCATCAGCAGCAGTGGCAGCAAAGATCCTGCCATCTAGGGTCCTGACATATTCTCGCCTATTTCCACTGTGATTTTTGAGTCAGTCACATACCAGCGGAGCAGAGTCTCCTGCCTTTTTGAAACCAAAAAAACCAAACCAAACCCACTGTTGTCAAGTCAATTCCGACTCATAGCGCCCTCATAGGGTTTCCAAGGCTATATAAATCTCTACAGAAGCAGACTGCCACATCATTCTTCCACAGAGCCACTGATGGTTTGGAAACCAGGTTCTCTTCAGTACCTTTCATTTTCCCAGAAATGTGGGCTTTTATTTTACAGATGAGCAAAGGGAGGCTCCGCTGATTTCGGTGCCTTCCAAGGTCTGCAGAGGGAAGGTTAGACTTGTTTTCAGTGAGATACATCTTTGAAGTCAGACAAATTTGAGGTTGAGTTGTGGCACAAACCGTGTGATCTTGAAAAAGTAATTTATTAGCTTCCATTTCTCATCTGGAAAATGACATTTTACCATTGAATTTTGAAACGTTATTTTACCATTGCAGGGATTAAGAAGAAATAAAAAAAAAAAAAAAACAATGCTCAGCAATTGTAGAGCACACACTATGTGCCAGATGTTGTTCTAAGTACTTTACGTATATTAACTCATATAATCTGTATAAATTAGTAAGTGTTCAGTAAACTGTGTTGTTATTATTATGATTAATACTGCTACTACTACTCCACCGTTTTCATGGCAAAGAAGTCTGGTTTTAAATTTTTCTTACCTGCAACATTAGGCAACGTCATTCTTAGTATGGAAACCAAAAGTATTTGGCTAATGTTCAAAGATAATCATACAGCAGTTGTCCCATTGTTTTTGTAGGGTTATTTTGGAGCTGTTGGGGCACTGCTGGAACTGTTCAAAGTGACTGCTGACCAGTAAAGATAAGCAGCGGGGGAACAGCCTCCCGTGAGAACTGCTGCTGGAGGAGGTGAAAGCCACTGTGGGCATGGAAGCCAAGCCATTATGGCAGTTCAACCTGCTGGATGTGTAAATAATTTAAAATCCTTCTAGCTGATCTTTCACTCTTGGGTTTTGAGCTTATGATTCAAAATGGGGAATACAAGAGTTTTTCTGTATACTGTATTTAAAACAAAAATTTGTGCAGCGTGGCCAAACCTACCAATTTTATGCATTAACTTTGAAAAGTTGTATGATGTTTAAGAAGGACCTGAAATGTAAGAGCTGTTTATTTTTCTTCTGGGGTTTACTGATCAGTGTGGTAATTTTAACTTCGTTTAGTAATTACTCTAGGAGATTTTACCTTTACTTATATTTTTCATGACGTTTCATGATTTGCTGTTGGTTTCAAATGAAACTACAAATCTGGCAGGTTTTACTGTGAACACTGTTTGTTTGCATTTTTTGTCTTGTTTTTCTGTTTGAATGTCTTGTGATAAAAGAGAGTCCTTCACCCCACTTCTGTCCTTGGGTGATCTCTCCTACCCCACTGACCCAAATGATAACCTTACTTTAACATAATCTCTCATATTAACCAAGGTGCTGACCAACTCAATACAAAGTTAATCACGAGATCTAAAGCTCTCGAAAGTGCCCAAGAAGAAAAGACTCTGAATATGTTACTGAATTTAATGAGTCTGGCAAACATTGAAAATCATATGCAATTCTGTCTTATCCTTTGTGAATATAACAGAGTTTTGTTGGATTTATTTTATGTTAGGTTATATTAAATCGAAATGCTCTGTGATGAAATGTCCTCATCCATGCATAGCATACAATGGCAGCAAATCCTTGTTTACAGGAGGTAATTAATTGTTCACATCAGGAGGTTTAGGGGAAATCATGGATTCAGCTGTCAGGTAGTAATAGCTATTTTTTGTGTACATGTATGTACCTAGGAGCTTTGTAAAAAGGCATCTTATAAATAATGTTAACTTTTTTCATTTTTAATAATTTACACTTAAATCTGTACTTCAATCCCAGTTTCTAAAATTAAAAAAAAATTACAATACTGATCTTTTTTTTTTTCTCCCTCTTTGAAGACTCCATAGGGACTGATGGGTAACATTCAAATGAGGGTCTTGTACAAATATTGGAACACATTAAGAACTAGTGATTTAGAACAAACTGATCTTTTGGATTGAATGTATTGTTGAAAGGGATTTTTGAAAGGCAGTACAGTTGTCAATGATGAATCTTTTCTTTCTGCCTTCTGAGCACCATCTTTAACGTTATACCTTTAAGTCTTGAAGAAGTTGATGCTGATTGAAGTATTCACTTGTCTGGTTGAAATAAAGCCCGTTTTTGTTGTGATGTCTTTAGTGCGTATGTTATTTTCATTTCTTAATCCTTGTTTCACATTATCTGCTTTGTACCATAGAATTCATGTATGCCATGTTTTTACTACTTTGCATTTCCTAGTGTGAGGCTTTCATACAGGTGTGGTTAAGGTCCAAAACACTGTGCCTTCAGTGGAAGCTGTAGCCCTATGTAGGGATTTTTAAATAGCTTTATTGTTCTTACACAGCTAACTCCTTAATGCCAAAATGTCACTGCTCTATTGGGTAATTCAGAATGAATATATTATGTTTGCTGTGGTCATCACAAATAAATTTGATCAACTATTGCCTGGCTTAAAAAAATCCAAGCAACTAAGGTGTCCTTGAAAGATAAGTGTAAAAATCTACATATTGTCTCTAATGAGTGCCTTTTTGATTGGTCTCCTCTACCATCTCTAATCCTATCTATCAGGGAATAGCAGACCTTGGATCATGGTTCTGCAGAATAAATCAGGGCAAGTTAATGTGACTATATATGTTTTTAATTATCTGAAATCACTTGATCTCATTATAAATATTTAAAACACTGGTTTAGCTGAGAAAATAAATTATTCCATTATATAAATATGAATTAAATTTTGGCTACATATAGTAGCCAGCCCTTTTTTTTTTTTCCCAAAGAGGAACTTGTAGCATAAGGATTTTTATATTCACTTGCATTACAGAAACTTTCTTTAGACTCAGCATCACAAAGAAACTTGGAAAGACTAAAAAAATTTTATCTTGTGTTACATGAAGTCAGGATGGTCAGGCGGTTCAGAACATGGCTTTGTACTGTGAGATAGCTTGGGCCTGGATCCCAGCTCAGCCATTTACTAGCTGTGTGTGCAAATTGCTAACCTTCTCTCTAAACCCTAGTTTCTTCATATGTAAAATGGAGCAAATAATTTTTACTGCCATATTTAAAGGGCTTAGCACAGGGGCTAACACATAGTAAATGCCTCATTTATGTTAGCTGTAATGGAAAAGAAAAAGTTTTTAACTCATATGTTAGATCAGTGCTTCCCAACCTGCTGGAGTGTGGGGAACCCATTTTAGCATGGAAATGTTTCACAGTTCGCCACATAGCTGGTACATGTCCACAGCCCTTCATCCACAATTCCAAAATTCCAGAACTTTAACATTTGTCTTGATAACTTGCTTGGCAGCAAAACCTGACTTGAACTTTATTTATTGCACTTAATAGAACTCTTCACATATTCTGTTGCAAAGCTATAAAGATATTTGACTACAGGGTACTGCCCCAGACCCTGCTAGAGGTATAAGTAGTGAACAATTTTGGATTCTGAAACACATCTGGCCCTAAGAGTTTCAGATAAAGGGATTGTGGAAATATAGTTGTATTTCTTCAGTTTATGCAGTATACATGGATTCCCTTTGTCGGGAACCATTGTTGAAGGTAATTTATACTCAACACCATTCAGTCTACAAAGAATTTTAAGATGTTACTTTATGCCAGGAAGGAGCTGAGGAGACTAAGAGGAATAAGATACAACCCTAGCAGTCCGGTGGGGGAAGACAGAGAAGTTTCAAACCAACACATATGATAAAGCATCACAGGTATCATTCATTCATTCATTTATTTATCCCCAAATAATTTCAACAGTGAACAAACCAGGACCCCACCCTCTTAGCACTTACATTATAGAAGGGCAGACAGATACATTGCTAAATATATAATGTTAAATCCTGATCAGTACTACAAAGAAAAATTAAGGCAAGTTAGAGGTTAGAGAAGGGATAGTTGTATTTAGAAAAAATGAGAAGGGGAGAATCTTCTTATGTTAGTATGGTCAAATATAAGCCCTCATAAGAGATGACCTTTGAGCAGAGAGTCAAATGAAGTTCCAACAACACCATGCAAATTTCTGGGAGGAAATTCTTCATTCCTGGAGAACAGTGGTTTTGAGGAACTGCAGGGAGGCCAGTGTATCTGGGGTGAATGAAGGGAAGAGTGGTGGGAAATGCAGTTTTAGGAGTAGCCATGGGCCAGGTCCTTTAGGAAATCTGTAAGTGGGGGATAAAGGGCTGCACTTGAAGGAAGGATTGGTCGTCTTACTGGCGAGGGGTGCTAGAAATGGCTTCATAAGTCTTAACCAGTGAGTGGTAACCCACCGAGTGGACCAGGAGGGAAGGGCCTCCCTGGCAGTGGGAGCAGGGTGAGCAGAAGCACCAAGGGAAGAAACAATCTGGCTTCTTCAGGGAGCTGGCTGTTTGCCTCAACCGGTAGGTACCTGGTTAGTGAGAGAGAAACCAGATACTGTGAGAGAGGAAACCAGCCAGATTATGGAAGGATTCATATTCCATGCTAAAGACTAAATTTTCTATAGTCAGTGTGGAGCCATTAAAGAGTTTCAGTATAGTAAAACTAGAATTAATTTGGCTTCAAAGTGAGAAATAGAGCAAAATGCCCTGTTGAGGTAAGAAATGAACAAACCAGTTATTGTGGTTTTTTACTACTTAATACCATTCCATTATCATGTTTATTTTATTACCTCTATTGTGCCAGAACTCAGGAAGTAGCTGTTTAGTGGACTGTGTTTCTTTGTAAAACTAAGATGGTTATATAAACTCTTGAGAATTTTCCCAGAGGACAAAGGCTACTAATAGCTACAACTCTGATTCTATTCAGTGAGCAGGAAGGTTTCAACACCAGTGATCACCATAAACTCCATTACTCGGGAGAATTATTTTGGAGAGAAGGAGCTGTTCCTCCCAGTGATCAGATGTCCCCACATTTGTAAGGAAGATTTAATTAGTCAGCATTGTTTACTGGGTCTATCAGGTGCTCATTCATTCACTCTTCCTTCATTTACTTTTTACTAAATGCCTATATCTGAAAGGGACTGGGTAGCATTCAGAATACATCTGTGAATATGACAGAAAGGTCCCTGCTGTCATTGGGCTTATATTCTAGTGACGGAGCTAGACTTTAAGCGTATAAACCAATAAATAAACAAGAAAATATCAAGTTGTGTTAAGTGCTATGAAGAAAAGAAATAGGTGATGTGATAGAAAGGAGGTGGTAATTAGATGCAAATATGAACAAGTCATGCCCTCAGCTTTTAAGTAATGACAGGTTCCCCATCCTTTCATTCCTATTGCCTCTTTAATGAAAAGGAAAGACATTTTTAAGAAACAGTTTGATAGGGAATTAATTTTATTTGACTTATAATATTTACTTTTCATGTGTATTTCAAGTTAAATAGTACATAAAATAATATATTAATTTAGAAACATGCCTTTTTTCCTACTCATTTATTTCATGAAACAATATTATTTGCTGTTCACTTGGATTTTCATTGTCAATGCCTTTGTCATCACTGGAGTCATTTAATCTTTTCCAGAGCACATAAACTTTGAGACATAGCACTTTATGAATCTGTATACGGTGTTGACGCTGGATGTTTTTTTTTTTTTTAACCAAGCCACAATTACCTATTTCTATAATGAGTTCAATTGTTAATTTCATTTTCTGGCTGGTATATATTGGTGATTGCCACAATGTGACCATTTATGTAGAGCCTTTTAAAGTCAACTTAAAAAGGCTAGTTTATAAGTATTCGTCAATATTGCAATATAAAAATAAAAAGAAAATTTGTGTTAAAAGTTCTTTGCCTCCTTTTTTTTTTAATTGCTTTATCAGATAAACACTAAGCATTCTAAACTAGAATTAAATTGATGTGCTTTCAGTTAATGTCTTCATATAATTCTCAGCCAGTAGCAGTTAGAGTTTTAGCTTCTTTTTAAATTTGAGTATTTTTTTTTAAATTTTCGACAAGTATTATATGCACAGGGAGCTGTGGTGGCATAGTGGTTAAGAGCTCGGCTACTAACCAAAAGGTCGGCAGTTCAAATCCACCAGCCACTCCTTAGAAACACTATGGGGCAGTTCTACGCTGTCCTATAGGGTCACTATGAGTCGGAACCGTCTTGACAGCACTTAACAACAACAATTATACGTACATAATTTAAAGAGTCAAATAGTTCCATAAGACTGAAAAGTAGCAGTACCCAAGCTTTATTTTTCTTGTTTAACTATTTCATCATTTTGAGCACAGTAGCTTCCATATAAAAGGGTAGGGTGATAGGAAAATTTTTTTTTGAGTACTTGCATTATGAAAATTTCTAAAATTAATTTTATTCAACTCTCATATCCAACAGATAGTTTGGCAGAGTATAGGATTTTAGGTTAGAATGTCATTTTCCCTCAGAATTCTCAAGGCATAGCCCTGTTAGTGCCAAGCTGCCAGACTTGCTATGAAAAAGCCTGACGCTATTCTGACTCCTGATCTCTGATGTGACTGTTTTTCTCCTCCTTTCTGAAAAATTTTAGAAACTTCTCAACTTCCGGTTTCAGTTGTGACATATAAAGAACTTAACAGCCATTACTTCCATCCTTACAAGAAGAAAGCTGTGCAGACTGATAATCAACAACGTTTTTGGACTCAACAGAGAATTGAGATTGCGGGGCAAACTGTTGCCCTGAAATTTGGAGAGTCAGGCAAATGCAGAGAGAATCCCAGATGAGATCAGCTTACCTGGAACAGTAGCCATTGGGAGCCATAAACTGGTAGGAACATATGATAATTCTGACAAATTGCTGGAGGATGAGTGTGGACTAGCATAAGAGCAAGAAACTCCTGGGGGCTGCAGTCTTGGGGGGGTCCCCACAGTTTTGTGGGTTTCACTTTCAGAAGCCCCACCAGGTTCTCATGGTAAAGAGCCAAGAAAAATCCCCTTCTGTCTCTGGCAAGGATAGGGAAAAACTTACCGTTTTTGAAATATATCCAGATAGAAATTATGCCAGCAACTCTCAGTTCTTTCTGAGCTCTCATAGGCAACACCCTCAAAGTTCATAATTCTACCAATGGTGTCTTCAAGACAGTCTAGGCTCTTATCAAGCACATCAAAATTCCTTCAGTCTGTACCCATTACCCAATTCCAAAACCACTCCACATTTTAGGTATTTGT